TTCCAAAGAACAAAGTCTTTTTTGAATAAGTNTTTGCTAACTGGTGAAATTTAGTTGAGAGGGGCAGCAAGCGGATCATTTAAAATGAAGAAGATCTTCCAAAGAACAAAGTCTTTTTTGAATAAGTCCATTCATTTGGGATCCTTTAGATCTATTCTTTTTTCTATTCAAAGATTAGCTCTTTGTTTCAGCGAATTATTTGCCAAAGAAGAGATGTCATATGTGAAAACCAATTGTAGAAAAATAAAGACTAATTAGAGGCCAACTGTTTGAAATTTGACACTTAAAAGTACGAGGGCTAAGAGCTATAGAAAAAAGTAATGGTTGGTGGTGTCATTGGCTTACCAGCTCTTATATGGGTGTAACTCTCAGTTTTTATCTTATTCCATCGTCATCTGCTGCAAATATATTCTGACTATCTTCGTTTTTGCAGAAAATGTTATGTTTCTTAGCTAAAACCTAGCATTGGACGATTTCAAAATCATAGAACGGTAGCTACATCCTAATCCAAAGTGACTTGTGTCACAAGTTCAAATCATAAAACCAATCTTTTCGCATACGGAGGTAAGATCGTGTATATAATCTGGATTATGTGCTTAAAAAATTTCTATCAGATAGTTGTTGGACCCCTATGATGTCTTAGTCAATTTAAGTTGCCGGTGGTGGTTCCGCCATATTGAGGATGGGTAGGTGGCACTACCATTACTAGTAAACTTGTTATCATCTTCCTACAATTTTGGAAAAAGGTCAAGCTTGCACTTATGAAATAAGTGACCATTTCGAATGAAACTATTGGACAAACAATAGAAAAATTTATATGTTTGAATATGAAAGTATTTATGGTCAAAACAAAAAGAGTATAGAAGTAGTCATTGTGGACAAATAACACTAAAGATTTTGATTGATAAGAATCTAATTGGACAATGACTTCTTTAATGTCCTGAACCATTAAATTCTATAATTCAATATTTCTCATAGGGGTAAGATTACAGAATTAAAAATGTATATTTTGTTGCTTTTATTTTTTCGCTTGGGAATAAAAGGGGTGGAAGGAAAGGAGANTGGACAATGACTTCTTTAATGTCCTGAACCATTAAATTCTATAATTCAATATTTCTCATAGGGGTAAGATTACAGAATTAAAAATGTATATTTTGTTGCTTTTATTTTTTCGCTTGGGAATAAAAGGGGTGGAAGGAAAGGAGACCACTCTGATAGGTTGTCACTGGTGGGATTATGAGACCCCTGACTGAGTGCTTTATTATGAAGTAAAGGTAACATTATAGTCCAACCTGGTGAGATTATAACAAAATGAGATTGTTTAAAANAACACTCCGATAGGTTGTCATTGGTGGGATTATGAGACCCCTGACTGAGTGCTTTATTATGAAGTAAAGGTAACATTATAGTCCAACCTGGTGAGATTATAACAAAATGAGATTGTTTAAAATCGATCCTCCTATTAAAGATGGATCATAATATAGATCTAACTTTTTTTCATAAATTGACCTTATTTAGTTATAGTTTGATCCAAATTATTACCATTTNACTGTTTAAAATCGATCCTCCTATTAAAGATGGATCATAATATAGATCTAACTTTTTTTTCATAAATTGACCTTATTTAGTTATAGTTTGATCCAAATTATTACCATTTGATCTAAAAATGACCATTAATAATATATTCTTAGCTAGTGCCATTTACACCCAAATTGTAAGCAAAGGGGCAGACACGTTAGCTTGAGAATGGGCACTTGGAAACCCTGACTTTTGAACTCATATTTGTAGAATTTGTGGAAAAAGCTAAGCTTGCACTTATGAAATAACGGATCATTTTGAATGAAAATATCGGACAAACAATAAAAAAAAATTGCATGTTTGAATATGAGAATAGTTATTGTCAAAACAAAAGAATATGAAAATTGTCATTGTTGACAAATAATACTAAAAATTTTGATCGATAAAGATCTAACTAGACAACGACTCTTTTAAAGTCCTTAAACATTAAAATCTATAATTCAATGTTTCTCAAAGGGGAAAGATTACAAAAGTGAAAATTTACATTTTGGTGTTTTATTATGAAGTAAGGGTAACATTAAAATTTATCAATCGGGTGAGATTATAACAAAAATAAGAGTGTTTAAAATTGATCCTAATATTAAAGATTTATTTATTATGGAGTTAGGATAACATTATAATTCAATCTGGTCAGATTATAGCACAATGAGAGTGCTTAAAATTGATCATAATATTAAAGATCTATTTACTATGGAGTAAATATAACATTACAGTTCAATCTGGTGAGATTATAACAAAATCAGAGTGTTTAAAATTGATCCTAATATTAAAGATCTATTTACTTTGGAGTAAGTGTAACATTACAATATAATCTGGTGAGATTATAACAAAATGAAAGTATTTAAAATTGATCCTAATATTAAATATATTTTTATTATGGAGTAAGGGTAACATTACAATCATTACAATGTAATCTAGTGACATTATAGTAAAATGAGACTCTTTAAAATTGATTCTAATATTAAAAATCTATTTATTATGGAGTATGGGTAACATTATAGTTTAATTTGGTGATATTATAGCAAAAATGATAGTGTTTAAAATTGACCATAATATTAAAGAACTATTTATTGTGGAGTAAGCGTAACATTACGGTTCTAGTGAGATTATAGCAAATGAAAGTGTTTAAAATTGATCCTAATATCANTGTGGAGTAAGCGTAACATTACGGTTCTAGTGAGATTATAGCAAATGAAAGTGTTTAAAATTGATCCTAATATCAGAGATCGATCCTAATATTTTAGGATAGATCTAACTTTTTGTTCATAGTTTGACTTTATTAAGTTATAGTTTGATCCAAATTATTATCATTTGATCTAAAAATNTAACTTTTTGTTCATAATTTGACTTTATTAAGTTATAGTTTGATCCAAATTATTATCATTTGATCTAAAAATGACCATTAATAGTATATTCTTAGCTTAGTGTAATTTACAGCCAGCAGCAAAGGGGGAGCCACATTTGCTTGAGGTAGGCACTAGGCAAACCTTGATAACTTTTGAACTCATGTTTGTAGTATGTTGAAAAAAGCCAAGCCTGCTTACGAAATAAGGGATCATTTTGAATGAAAATATCGGACAAACAATAAAAATTTGCATGTTNGAAAAAAGCCAAGCCTGCTTACGAAATAAGGGATCATTTTGAATGAAAATATCGGACAAACAATAAAAATTTGCATGTTTGAATATGAGAGTAGTTATTGTCAAAACTAAAGAGTATGAAAATAGTCATTGTTGGCAAATAATACTAAAAATTTTGATCGATAAAGATCTAACTAGACAATGACTCTTTTAAAGTCCTTAAAACATTAAAATATATAATTCAATGGTTCTCACAAGGGAAAGATTACAAAAGTGAAAATTTACATTTTTGGTGTTTTATTATGAAGTAAGGGTAACATTAAAATTTATCAATCGGGTGAGATTATAACAAAATGAGATTGTTTAAAATCTATTCTAATATTAAAAATTGATCCTACTATTTTAGGGTAGATCTAACTTTTGTTCATAAATTGCCTTTATTTAATTATAATTTGAAGTTCTCTTATTTTTTATAAATTTCAGTTCCAATCTTGTTCAATTATATATTGTTGAATAAAATTCAATTTTATGGATTGTTAGTGGGATTAGTAAAATTTATTGGGCTCTAATTAAAATAATCTACGGAGTTTATGTTTGTCAATTTTAGACAAAGACATGTGAATTCGACACGAAATCGATATTGAATTAATGAATTTAGGTGGTAAATGAGTGAATGTTACAAACTCGTCAAATAAATGAGTGACATAAACCCGCTAAGCATGGCTTAAATACGATTTATACATGACTATAATTGCCAATCCTAGTACTAGAGGATCTAATTTGACCTAAACAGATAAATTATAAAAATAAAATAAAATAAAATTGAGCGGCTCAATCAAAAGCATTTGATTGAAATAAACACGAATAAATCACTCTAGTGATTATTGTAAAATATAAATATTATATGATTAATGCTTGATTTTTCTTATTACAGATTGACTGACCTGACTATCAATATTAAATCAATGCAATCATGTCTACGATATCAGAAAAAAAATAATATCGACATTTATCACATTTGTAGATATTTTTATNTATTGTAAAATATAAATATTATATGATTAATGCTTGATTTTTCTTATTACAGATTGACTGACATGACTATCAATATTAAATCAATGCAATCATGTCTACGGTATCAGAAAAAAAATAATATCGACATTTATCACATTTGTAGATATTTTTACTATTATTATAGGTATTTTTATATTTGTTGTGGTGAGAAAAATAATTACCATGATAATGGTAAAAACATCTACAACAATGATAAATCAACTACAAAAATGATAAAAATTTTGTACCCAAAAATGATAAATATATACTAGTAGTAAAAATATATCCATAAAAATTATAAAAATACTCACAGAAATAATAAATTACCCACAAAAGTAATAAATATTTTATTTGTAAGATGATCCCATNTTTGTACCCAAAAATGATAAATATATACTAGTAGTAAAAATATATCCATAAAAATTAAAAAAATACTCACAGAAATAGTAAATTACCCACAAAAGTAATAAATATTTTATTTGTAAGATGATCCAAAAAAGTTATGAAAAAATATAAATTTTGTAGGTCCGATACCCANATAAAAATTATAAAAATACTCACAGAAATAATAAATTACCCACAAAAGTAATAAATATTTTATTTGTAAGATGATCCCATTTTTTTTTTTCTCATTACCGCAGTCAAGTTCCAAATATAAAGAAATGGCACACATATTCAACATCTCTCGTCAGACAAAGCCGCCAAATTAGACCAACTAACTATTGCTACATGTCAATATAAATCCATGTGTAGATTGGTTAGACATATCGATCAAAGTAACATTGTTGACAAACGTTTGTGAGAGAGAGAGAGAGAGTGAGAGTGTGGGAGAGAGAGTGCAACAATAGCAGCCACTATGCCGGAATCATTTCCGATGAACGGTGGAGATGGCACCTACAGCTACAGTAAGAACTCACAATATCAGGTACTGCCATGTATTGTTAATTCGTGTTTAGCCACGAGCAACACCCTTGGAAACACACCACCAAAACCCCTAAAAATACACCATCAAAATTACCAAAAATTCACCACCAACACCATTAAAAACTCACCCCCAACCCTGGAAAACCCACCACAATCACCATCGAAAATTCAGCCCCCAAGGCTCGAAAACCCACCAGCACTCCTAAAAACTCAACACCTAACCACCGATTGAGCTTGAGAGAGAGATCTGAGATGAGGAAACCCATCACATAACCACCGATTGAGATGAGAGAAAGAGATCTATAATGAGAAGCCTCGATCTCGTCTTCGTGGGAAAGCTTCGGTTCTGCCTTCGTCTTCGTGGGACACTTCGATTTCACAGATAGAGTATCAGGTTTTCAGAGAGATTGAGAGAGAGAGATGAGAAGCTCTGGTTTCAGAGAGAAAGAGAGGTGAGAAGCTGCGGTTTCGGAGAGAGAAATGAGGAGAAAAAGAGATGAAAAAAGGGGAGTAAATTGATTTTTTATAGTTAGCACAAAAAATCCTACATTTTTTTTTTGCTAAGGAGATTCGAAGGATTTGTCTGCTTTGAGCGCACGTGTTTTCATTTTTGGGTGTTTGTGAAAAAACCTTTTTCTATGTTTGCATTTTTGGGCCTTTTTTTAAAACACAGTATCCTAAAAAAAAAGAAAACACAGTCTAAACGTGTTTTTATTTTTTATTTTGATAAAAATTGAAAACAAAAACAGAAAAAATAAATAAAAACTCCTGATTACCGAACACTACCTTAAATTTTAGTTTAGAAAGTGTGTAAGGGTTGGATTGGTCTAAACCTATTTAGTCCTTCCACACCCATGAACATTTGCTTCAGATGAAGTCAGGATTTACACAGTCTCTCCTAGGGCTACCGAGCAATTTAATCAAGGGTGATTGTCTTGTGTAGTGATAAAAATATACGACTAAGTACTAATGGACTAAATAAGAGCACGCACTGAATTGATAACCCTGTTGACAACACCCTAGGAAAGGTGATGTATAGTCAAGGGTTAAGCAAATGAAGTATTAGTCAATTTAGTGCTAAACTTCAAAAAATAACTCCCCTATTCTAAATGGAAGGATTCAAGAAACACTACTAAACCCGATCCAATGCTAAACATATGTAAGGTTTCATGTTCATTGCCTGTTTAGCTCGTGAAATGAGTAATCAATTTGTATTTGTAGTTTGGGTTTTGTCGCAATTGAGGTTTGCTTTTGATCTGTGGTCAGGTTCTGAGTGTATTGGTACAGACTTAAAATATTAAACTTTTCGGATAATATCTATATTTCTCAAAAGTTTTGCGGAATTTGTGCTGCATTTTTCCATTTACCTACTTCAATGAATGTTCATATTCTCCGAACGCACTTTGTTGCCATAACTGAGAGCACTATTTGAGCACTTTCGAAAATTCCTAAGAGTAATTAATCTTGATTGTTTGGAAGTTTTTCCTTTGAATTTTTTCATCTGATCCATCTTGAATCTCCTGTCCAACCCTTGTTACCTTACTTCGGTTGTATTACATATTGATTCACAAAATTTATCTTTAATGATCTTCCACATTCAGTCAAGTTTTTTCCAACTCTAGACTGTTTGGACTGAGGATGATGATAACAGTAACATCAATTTTGTATTTTGGCTTATTTGCTTGCAGAGAGAAGCTTCAAACACTGCAAAGGAAATGATCATGGAGACAATTGTTGACAAGCTTGACTTAAAAAGTCTGACTGTTACTTCAAAAGCAATTCGTATTGCAGACTTGGGATGTTCAGTTGGACCAAATACCTTCATTGTCGTGGAAAATGTAATAGGAGTTGTGGAACAGAAGTACTCTTCCAAAGGCCTATCTTCCGAAAAGCTTGAATTCCAAGTGTTTTTCAATGATCATGTTTCCAATGATTTCAACACCCTGTTTGCCTCCCTACCTCCTGATAGGCAATACTTTGCCACCGGAGTGCCAGGTTCTTTCTATGAACGATTATTCCCCACGTCCTCCCTCCATTTTGTGCACTCTGCTTATGCACTACAGTGGCTCTCGAAGTTGCCCGAAAAGTTGCTAGACAAAAACTCTCCTACATGGAACAAGGGAAGGATTCACTACATTGGTGCCTCAGATGAAGTAATGAGTGCTTATGCAGCTCAATTTGAAAAGGATATGGAGATCTTTCTGAATGCTAGAGCTAAAGAGATTATTGATGGAGGAATGATGGTAATCATCATGCCAGGTCTCCCAGATGATATTCACCATTCTGAGCTCCCAGCTGGCATCTTATTTAATTTCCTTGGATCTAGCCTCATGGACATGGTGAACGCGGTGAGTCCATGATCATCTATTATTATCTCATCAATTGAGATTGGTTAAACTAAGAAACTATGAATTATATTTATAACAAAAAATTAATTTTAGCTCCAAAGAGTATTCCAGATGATCCAAGGAAAAGGGGTGGAAAATGGTAGTGAAATTTTTTTTGCAAGTACTGAGAGAATCATCTGCTATGAAAGTCTAGAAATATATATAGTACTATCTTGAGAAGAACTTAATGGTTAAGAGAGCTTTGTTACCCTTCTCTGCTTGTTGGCCTGAGTTGGTGATAGATTACCCTGCATTACATCTTGAATATTTTCCCTCTAGAGATATAGGTTTCGTTTGAATGATAGTGAATCAGATATTTATAACACAAGACAAAATGGCCATTTTTTGTTTCAGGGTATTATTAGTGAATCTCAAGTGGACTTGTTCAACTTGCCTATTTATGCTGCCACCCCCAAAGAGATGACAAGGCTGGTAGAGAAAAATGGGTGTTTTAGCATTGAGAAATTGGAGTTAACAGAACCTAGGTCGAAGATGGAAACCGCATTTAATGTGCCAGCTTTGATAATGCACCTAAGAGCCGGCATGGAAGAAGTCTTTGCCCAACACTTTGGACGTGAAATTATTCACGAACTATTTGAAAGGACTTCTCAGAAGCATGAAGCGATTTCCCACCAGCTAGAGTCAAGCTACATGAAAGGCACCCAGTTATTTGTTGTTTTGAAGCGAAAATGATGTGAGATGGAGAATGATTTGCTTGTGTGGTGTTTTTAAGGGTCCAGTTTTCGATTTCAAACATATATGAAATGTCTCCTACTGATGGGAAAAATGATGAAACATTGCAAAATATACAAGTTTAAACTCAAAGACCAATGGATCATGCCAGGTGACCAGGGTCGCTCAAGACAATTTGAAGTTTAAAGCGATACTTCTAAATGAGACTTTTATGTTTAATATTAACATTTGTTATTTAAAATTAATTTTTCTTGCATTTTGAGTTACAAAAGTATTAATAAGTTTTTATATTCAAGTTTTGTTATCATATCTTTTTCAATTGATAGTATCATTAATCCAGTTAATGTTTCTTGTGATATAGTCAATTTTTAGTAAGATTTTATTAATTTTTTTGAATGCTTATCACCGCTTTTGTCTTTGGCACGTGCACAGTAATTTTAATACAATGTTCAAGAATGTGCACTTGTACAGTCTTATGTGGAGGGCCGGCAAAAAGCAACCAATACACAAAGTTCAATGACTTGATGATGCAGATAATCTCTGGCAATGAAAAGATGGGTGAGTACTTGAATAGGATACGAGTAGATAGTGGACACTAGCCCACGATGGTGGACGATAATATGGCATAATGACGACCAACATTTTTTAGGTTTTCAATAGTGTTCTTCAAGGCGTAAGGTTTTTGTCATAACTATTTGTGTGCAATCGATAATTTATCGAGTGATTAAGTATCATTACGAACATTGAAATAAGGTGATAAAATGGAAAGAAAATGGGTTTTGTTCCCTAAGAAAGTTATCGACCGAGTACAACGTTCGAAGAAAAAGGGTCGTGTGCACAATGTGAGGCCATTTCATAAGGTTCGTCCACTTGCTAATGTGGAGACTGGAAGTGGTAAAAAGCAAGTTGTTTGTCTAGAAGACCATTGTGCACTTGCAAAAAATAGGCAATATTTAGAATTCCTTGCAAAAAATGTATCCTCTTTTCAGTGATTGCACCTTGCTACAGCTACATCTCACTGATGATCAAGTCCTCCAGTATTCTCTACAGCGAGGTTTTATAGGGCTCACAAGGTTGCGGCATAGTGGCTACATTGACATCTCTTCACAGCCCCAGTTGAGAGGTGGCGTGTTGAGATCCACACATTCCACCTTCCTGTGGGTGAGGCCAAGTCACACTTTAGGATGTTGCAATTTCTGTTAGGCTATTGATCGATGGTATGCGAGTATGTGGCAAGGACAATTATTTGGAGAGCACGACTTGGCTAGTCCTGTGCAAGGAGTTGCTTGGTTTTACACCAGCTATGGGAGCTATAGACGGTTTTTTCCTCAAAATCAGTGAATTGCAAGCCTATTTGAATGCAGGATTGCTCGACGATTCTACCGAGAATTCATAGCATGTTATACCAGAACATACATCATGCTATTGATTGGTTCATATTTATTCATAAACAAGTCATCAAGTAAGGTTAAACTCATATACCTTTCATTGCTCACTGATCTCACTGTTAGGGTAGTGTTGCATTGGCCTTGCTATACCGAGAGATGTACGTCGCGACTAGAAATGATGCTAAGGACATCGACGACTTGCCTATTCTGCTTCGGGCACACTTCGACCATCATACACATGTTCTTACATATTTTTATATAAATTCATTACAATTTGATATGCATACTAACATAACTAATGTTTCTCCTATTTATGGATGCGTCCACAGAGATTACTCCCATGTGTTCCTTTAGCCCATAGAGTAGCTAATGGAGGAGAGTAACATGCAGAGGCCCTCGCACCACATGACGTTGTTGCACCTGCACCTGTACCACATGCCACGCCTCCTGATTTGTTGCCGCTAGGCTCTCATGGGTGTAGATAAGAAATTAAATAGTTGAACGATTCATGTGTTACTTGTACGTATTGGTAACTAATTACATTTGTTTTTTGTTTTTTTTTTGGTTTGTTATAGTTGGGATGTTTCATTTTTAGAGAAGAACATCCCTACACATATTCTCAAATATTACAGAGATCAACTTAACCAGATGTGGGATGAGCAGATATAATAACATTTTCACCTATATGATTGTGTTATATGCATTGATAGTTGCTTTGTTGTAGTTATATGATTGGTGGATGTTTTANTAAGAAAGTTATCGACCGAGTACAACGTTCGAAGAAAAAGGGTCGTGTGCACAATGTGAGGCCATTTCATAAGGTTCGTCCACTTGCTAATGTGGAGACTGGAAGTGGTAAAAAGCAAGTTGTTTGTCTAGAAGACCATTGTGCACTTGCAAAAAATAGGCAATATTTAGAATTCCTTGCAAAAAATGTATCCTCTTTTCAGTGATTGCACCTTGCTACAGCTACATCTCACTGATGATCAAGTCCTCCAGTATTCTCTACAGCGAGGTTTTATAGGGCTCACAAGGTTGCGGCATAGTGGCTACATTGACATCTCTTCACAGCCCCAGTTGAGAGGTGGCGTGTTGAGATCCACACATTCCACCTTCCTGTGGGTGAGGCCAAGTCACACTTTAGGATGTTGCAATTTCTGTTAGGCTATTGATCGATGGTATGCGAGTATGTGGCAAGGACAATTATTTGGAGAGCACGACTTGGCTAGTCCTGTGCAAGGAGTTGCTTGGTTTTACACCAGCTATGGGAGCTATAGACGGTTTTTTCCTCAAAATCAGTGAATTGCAAGCCTATTTGAATGCAGGATTGCTCGACGATTCTACCGAGAATTCATAGCATGTTATACCAGAACATACATCATGCTATTGATTGGTTCATATTTATTCATAAACAAGTCATCAAGTAAGGTTAAACTCATATACCTTTCATTGCTCACTGATCTCACTGTTAGGGTAGTGTTGCATTGGCCTTGCTATACCGAGAGATGTACGTCGCGACTAGAAATGATGCTAAGGACATCGACGACTTGCCTATTCTGCTTCGGGCACACTTCGACCATCATACACATGTTCTTACATATTTTTATATAAATTCATTACAATTTGATATGCATACTAACATAACTAATGTTTCTCCTATTTATGGATGCGTCCACAGAGATTACTCCCATGTGTTCCTTTAGCCCATAGAGTAGCTAATGGAGGAGAGTAACATGCAGAGGCCCTCGCACCACATGACGTTGTTGCACCTGCACCTGTACCACATGCCACGCCTCCTGATTTGTTGCCGCTAGGCTCTCATGGGTGTAGATAAGAAATTAAATAGTTGAACGATTCATGTGTTACTTGTACGTATTGGTAACTAATTACATTTGTTTTTTGTTTTTTTTTTGGTTTGTTATAGTTGGGATGTTTCATTTTTAGAGAAGAACATCCCTACACATATTCTCAAATATTACAGAGATCAACTTAACCAGATGTGGGATGAGCAGATATAATAACATTTTCACCTATATGATTGTGTTATATGCATTGATAGTTGCTTTGTTGTAGTTATATGATTGGTGGATGTTTTATGGTTGGTTAATTGTTTTTGAGCGATCTACTGTATTGTCTATTAAATAATACCTACGAGTATTATGTCTGATGAATATTGGTTGGTTAATTGTTTTTGAGCGATCTACTGTATTGTCTATTAAATAATACCTACGAGTATTATGTCTGATGAATATTAAAAGTTGTAATCGGTGTAAAAATAGTTGTATCTATCTCATATCTTTATAAGTGTAGTGTCATATCACAACTTTGACATTGTCACGTCATATCATTATTTTATCAGTATTTCGTCATATTACAACTTTAACAGTGTCAAGTCATTTAATAACTTTATTAGTATCATGTCATGTCATAATTTGACAATGTGATGTCATTTTTAAATACTTTGTAATATCATTGTAATTTTAAAATGCACAACCACACCTAGATAAACCATCATCCATAACTGTATAAATCATAGGAAAAAAAAATGTCTAGACCCACATCAAATAGACAATCCAGTCAAACCACTGAATATTCTTCGTCGCCATAAACAACGTAATTCATCTTCGGCCAGCAAACATAAATACTCGACTGAACAGCATCGTGGAACATTGTTCCTTCTATTGGATCCTATACAAATTCTGATGGTGTAACATTGTATGGAGCGTGAGTTAACCGATGAACATTTTGAGTGTTGTTACCAGAAACCTGCCAGGCATTCCATGCTGGACGAAAGCTACAAGAAAGGAACCCTACTGTTTGTCACTCAGACGCGCAACCGATGAATGGAAATCACCCTCCTTTTCCAGCTGATTTGCTAGCCTTATGATTTTGCTGGGGAATCACTACATCTAATTGTTATGGATGACTCAAATTCAGTAAGCATCAACACTGAACACATGCGAAATGAAAAGTCAATTTTCGACCAGATTGGTGAACAAGCGAAGCTCAGCCATGGAAGATGGAAAAAATTGTAAGTCATTTGCAAATTGCTTGTGTAATGAGATGCGTTGTGAAATTGTGAAAAATGGCATCGGATTGTCCATTACATCCCCATTTGAACACTGGAGCTCAACACGAATGTTTGAATCAAGCACGAGTTTCTATCACCAGAGCAAAATAGCTGTTAAAAGAAACTATACAATCTTCGCTGGTAGACTCCTTCAGCCTTTAAGAAGGGAGATAGGTATTAGTTCTGATCATAAATATATCACAGACCACTGAATATAAACTAACTAATTTTAAAGCTAAATTGAAGAAATGGGTTACGAGAAAACTTTGTATATTTACAAGAATAATTGTTCTATTATTATAAGACATATCATCGCAATGAATTACTTTAAACGTTCACAATAATAACTAACAGTTGCTAGAACAAAGAACACAAGAGCCTAACAAAGAGTCCACATGGGTCATTGTCGTGCAATTGCTTTATAAATGTTTTCAAAAAGTTATAACACACCACCAGTCGATGACAAGCTCTCTCCAATCAAAATGGGTCAATTGAATAAAATTTTTCTACAAGAATTAAGATTTTCAAATGAAAATGCAAACAAAATTCAAGACTTCTAAGTGTGCTTGGCAATGACGATGATTGCTTTTTCTTGCAAAGTTACTGGTCATTTCTCTTGGGGGAATGGTGTGATTTCTTGACCGGAAGCCTTCATCCCAAAATATAAATATTAGATGACACAAAACCTCACTAACAGAAGCATCTTCAAACTATAGCAACATCTCTGCAATCTGGATAGCATTAAGCGCAGCTCCTTTGCGTATTTGATCACCACAAACAAAGATGTCCAGCCTGATTGGAAAATACCCACTCCAAATGAACTTAAAAGAAAAATAAACATTTTGTCAAACATTAGGAGAAACAATTGCATATAAATGAAATTATACCCGTAGTTTCCATCTTGGGACGCATCACGCCGTATTCTACCTACTGCAACATCATCTTTGTTTGAAACATCCAATGGTGTAGGAAAGTGATTGGATGTCCGGTCATCAACAACCACTACACCAGGAGCATTCTTCAGAATATCCCTTGCTGTGTCCTAGATACACAAAATTTATAGTCAAGCCTTTTTCAGGGAAAGGAAGGGCAGATCATGCATAAGTAATCATTGTTGTCATTAAATTAAGAAAACAATGTCTTTCAATGCCTTCACCTGGCGATGAGATAAAGGTGAAAGTTGATTAGCCGAGGTAGCGATCTCATACTTTGCCTAAGCAAAGACATGTCTCTTACCTAATCCTTTCTTTGGTCAGGACAAAAGAATGACTATTTTTCATATCCCATGTATCCACAAATACAAAGATGGGATTAAAATCAGAAATGTATTCATTTTAACTCTCCATTTTAGCTAACTAATGATAAAATGATGATTAAGGCTGCTCTTAGAGCTGTTCTGACCAAAGGATTCATGAAAAGACCAATTTGGGCCTACTTCACAGTACTCTAGCTCATTAAAAAACAGATATATGGCTTGTATTTTGGTATGGTGGATTAGATATTTGACTGGTGGCAGGATGATATGGCAGCTGCAATTGTAGAAGGGGTCAAACTGTGTTCAAACTTGTCTGCTCTACACTCAACCACAAAAGAAAACTGAAATAGGTAGATAGCTAAAAGAAACCCCAAAAACAATAGGCCTAATAAATAAAACCAAAACGAACTAATAAATTCATGGTTGGCTCAACAGGGTTGCAGCATATAAACTAGTTTTAGACTTCACACATGAAAGCCAACCAGAGCCAACTAATTGCACCCATGTCGGCCATCCAATGAGGGCACGGTTCCTTATAGAGAAGAAGGGAAACTAAGGCCAGAAATCAATGTGCCGTGCCTCTCTTCTCAGTCACATATGTTCGAACTATAATACCACGAGTACCGGTATAGTGCATAGCCATGCAAGGTATCTCCAGCTAGCTTCTCATATCAACTTCATACCCCCTACAAAAAACAAACCTCCTTGTGCTTTGTTTCTGGCCTCGAAAGAATCTAATAATTTTGAAATAGATTACGCCTTATGCTAACTTAACACACAGATATACAAAATATAAGCAATACCCACTGAAAAAAAGAGTGCAATCCAAGTACTCACAAAGAATAATAGGATCCAAATATTGAAAAACCGATCTATACAAACTCTCCAAACAATCTTCAAAAGGAATCTGTTGAACGGGTCAATCTCCCAGACAACCACTAAAATAAAGAACAATAAATCATTTCTAACCACATTCATCAGCAACTCCCTGCTTCAAAAAATTCATTAGTCCTCTTTTTTTACACACCAAAAAAACAACATAAAGAAGCTGCTTTCCTATTTACATCTAGCCCTTTGACACCCCTTCTAGATCAACACCACATATCAGTAGCCCTCAACATCATCCATGGCACCACCAAAAAGAAATAAAAGAACAGCATAAGTCTGCATACCCGCAATAGAACAACAAATAATTGGCAATCTCCTCAGCTCTCATCAACATGCACAACACTTGGGAACTACCTGTACCCTCTTAAAAAGACCATCAGCCATCCATATTGTCATGAGATGTCAACATGCAAAGAAAGCTACCATAGAACAAATCTTCACCCTTTTCAATGGGCAAAAAAGCAGCTCGCAACTCCTTTTCAAAAAATGGCTTCTCAAACTTCCCGTAACTTGAAGGCCATTATCTCAACACATCGTCACACCCTCACACTGACCTAAAGTAAATCACATATGTTTGTGTTCGTGTAAAGGTGGTTTCTTACATTGAATTTGTCTTATCTAGTTGACTGATTTGAAAATGTTTCTTCTCCATCTTAGTCTGTTTGATTGAAGTGCAGACCAGAAGAGATGCTGAACCGCACTAATCCACTGAGGTCGATTTTGCTCAGGTCTCAGGAAAACCTGCCCCAAGATGCACCCCCAATAGTAGCACACTGCATAATACTGTCTGAAACCAACTCAATTTAATTCTCCTCCAGCACAAACACTGCCATCTTATTCCTAGTTGACTTGTCCTCAAGAAGCAAGTACATGGAATGTTTTTGAAATACAGATTGCCAAAATTCACAAGGTGTTCCCAATTGATAGGTGCAGTCAGCTGATTGTTACTTCATAGCAGCTTAAAAAGCAGGGAATTGAATACTACTGGAATTCCAAGCATCTTCTTTCCTAGAAAGTAACTAAAAAGGCTGGTGAAATGAGATGGTTATCAGTTGGAAAAGAGTCGGGCGTCAAATCATCAAGAAAGAACACTAAACAATAGCACATGAAGCTTAGGAGCAAGAACAAATTGTATTATATCCAAAAAAAGCAACAGTGGTCATAGAATGGAAGTAGCACACAGGTGGTGGACGAGAAAATGCTACCCTAAAAGGTTGCACCTATGTTTCATATCAACCAGATAATGTTCCCATCAGTCTTCAGCAACTGGACCCAAAAAAATACAACGAATATGCAAGTTATATGGCTACATATTCTAATAAAGTATCTTGAACAACAACGAATATTATATCATTTCACACTTGTGTTCAAACAAATTGTTCAAATCACCAATATTGAAACTAAAAAAGGGACATTTCTGAGCTTGGTCATGTAAATCGAGGGTGCTAAGGGTTGGACTAGAAGCAACCCTAACATTTGACATGATTTGCACTAGGCATAAGAAGCAACAAATCTAATAAAGTCGAGTTTATAGCCAAATCATAATTCAGGACATCATAACCTTACCTCATCAAGGGGCTTCTCAAATTGAAGATTCACACTCTCAGCATGTGCTCGCATAACAGGAACTCGTATACATGTTGCAGTCACTTTGACATTCATGTCATTCTACAGCATAAAGTAGAACAGCATGTTAGATAAACTAAACAAACTTGTCAACTTTGTCATATCCACAAATGGCTCCAACAGCTGATTGCCAGGCTTATGAGATATGATGAATCAAATGATAAAGGCCTAACTAATACTTACCCAGATCTTCCTTGTCTCTTTGACTAATTTCATTTCCTCTTCATTGTATCCGTTTGAAAGAACTGGTGCATTGTGAGAGAACAGATTAAAAGCATACTGCATATAGTCGAGTAATAGGAAATATAATCAGCAATAGAAGTAGTACATTATCAATTACTATTTGTTTCAATTGTAACTTATAATATTGACTAACCTGCTGCTTAAAGATTTTACAAGTTGGCTGTTTTCCTTCTAGGACCTTATTGCAAAATAAGTAAAAACGAATCAACTTAGAAAAACAAACAAATATAAACAAAGGAAAAACAATTTAATAAGATTACAAGAAATGAGAAAGACCTCACGCGTCTGCTGTTCAAGCTCTTCCATAGCAGCGGCTCCAGCACCACTAGCTGCTTGATATGTACTAACAACCATGCGTAGAACCTGCAAGTCAGAAAAACAAAATTAGGCCCAAACCAGTACTTATGCTAGGTGATAAGAAAAACAGTAAAGGAACATAAAATTTATGAGATAAAAGCATGTGAATAAGATGGGTGGATTATTTCGATAGTCTTGTTTGCTAAATTTCTAATTTTTAGAAGTTCATGTTGTGGTATTCCTATTTTGAGCATCTCATTTAGCACCATTACCATTACCAATGTCCAATTAAGCTGCAGAAGCATGAATAAAAATACTGTCTTTGAAGCAGTTTTTGACTTGTATTTGTTCATCAAAATATCCAATTTTTTTTATAGGAAAAAAAATCCACGTGATTTTCCGCATTCTCTAGACAAGGCTCACCATACACCAAAACAATAATTGTTTCGAATAGATCTTGAGATTGGAATCCCTACTTAATTCTCACAACCTTCTTCTTCTAAACCTTATTTTCTTGATTCCTCTTCAAGTCTGAAATTTACCGATGTAGCCACATTGAGCTTCTTGGTGTTTATTGTGGAACAAAACTTTCCTCACCGGCTTAAAGCCTTCCCTTAATTTTACACCATTATCCCAAACATTAGAATTTAGTTAACTGGTGCTCAAGAACTCCAGCAGGCTTTATTTTTACAAAACCTCATCTACACCCTGTTCCATCCACAATTCAGTGCATCTCTCTTTCTACCTCAAACTTTTAAATCATAACACGGTTGAGCCTTGTCATGTAAGGTAAGTATATAGGCGACATTATTGTCTCCATTTCTTTAAGGCTAGTAATAATACAATTCAATAACAAGCTGTACGAGGTAAGGCTACATTGAAACAAAATGCCAGTTTAGCCTAGAAATAGAAGGATTACGAAGGGGTCATTACCCTATTTTATCCCATGATCTTAGAATGGGTGGATCAGATGCAATCTATAATATAAAACAAAACAGGTTTCATTAAGTCTATCGAACGGTCTCAAATAAACTCATCCAACGACCACCAATAACCCTCTCAAAACTATTCAGATTGCATTGTACCTTCAGGTCTGGGTTATCTTTAGTTACAAACTAATTAAAGGTAAGCCCCACAAAAAGTCTGGAGAAGGTCTGAAGTTCATAGCCTTACCCCCGCACGAGAGAGGTGACAAAAGGATTATGGAAGCAAATGCATTTCCTAGCATCTTTTTGAGATTCGATCAATACATAATTTGAAGGTATTCTTCGATTTCATATTTTGCAAGGTGAAGAAATGTATTGCTCAATTGTGTTTTTGTTTTTACAAAATATTTATACCTTTTCTATGCATTTTCTATCTAGCTAATATTACAAATAAGAAGTTGAATTATCAACTTTTAAAAACACAACAACATGATTGATTTAATCTTCATCTACTTTGTTCTATTGATATAAAATTCATCAAAAAAAAATTTGTGGCTCAAAATCATTTAAAATTACAAAATTAAAAAATAAATAAATAAATTATCTATACTACTTAGAAATGTCAGCATCTACAAAAAAATTTTGATTTCTTATTTTATCTCCAATTATTATAATAAAGTCAATTATATCCACATATATACTTTCATCTAATTTTTATTTTTTGGACTCTTTTACAATAACTTCTAAATTCTTTTGAACTCATTTATTAGTAGCACAATTACGTACAATTATCTATATTCTAAATGAAGAAGTAAAGTCCTATATATGTTACATTATTATACACATGTAGTTAGGTTTAATTTTATGGTCAAATATATGTTATATTTTATTTTTTGGTATGCAATAATATAATAATATTATAAGCGATCTAACCATCTATTTAACAAAATAAAAGTTAATAATTCTATAATATAATCAGATGTGCAAATTGGAGAGATACCTAAATAAATGACAAATTAAGCATTCAAAAACTTATAGAATAAACTAATAATTAAATTTAGTAATAATTAAAATATTAATTAATTATTCAACACCTAATTTATTATTTAATTTAATTATACATATAATTCACGCGTTTAATAAAAATAATATTATTTAAATATATTTCCGTACAACACAATCGTGTATTGTTAATTATTTAAAATATAAATTGTAGGATGAATGTTTTAATTTTTGGTATTGTACATTGTCTTCTGGCACCGGGTTATTGCTAGTTTACCAATAAAGTAGATTGATGGTTGCACTAGGCAATGGCCTTTCTACTCGATCATTTCATCATAAAATTTTAACAGGCTATAACTCCCACACATAACTAAAATTATGGGGCAGAAATTTCACCTTAGCTAGTCGATGAAGCGGCGTGGCAGCCATCAAACATATAATAGTGGAGCAATTCGGATTCGCAATCAAAGCCCCTTTCCCAAATTTCAACTTAATATGTTTCATGGCTTCTGGATTAACCTCTGGAATCACAAGTGGAATTTCATCATCCATACGAAACGCGGAGCTATTATCCACCACAATGGCCCCATTTTCTACCGCAATCGGCCCGAATTTCTTGCTTATCGAACCTCCGGCACTGAATAAAGCAATGTCAATGTCCTTTAAGCTGTCTTCGGAGAGTTTTTCGATCACATAATCTTTGTCTTCGAAGGTAATGTGTTTTCCGGCGGAGCGTTCACTGGCGAGCATGCGGATCGAACGATACGGGAAGGAACGATCAGAAAGGACGGAGAGAAATTCTTGGCCGACGGCGCCGCTTGCGCCGACGATGGCAATTGAGGGGCCGTCTTCACGGAGGGACATACGGATGCCGAAGGTGAAGGTGGCGGGTGGAAGGAGATTGGATTTGGAGAAGCGGCTGGAGGTGGTTGCTCCGCCGTGGAGGAATTGGTTGTGGTGGTGGGACATGGGTGAGGCATTCGCTTTGAGCAAGTTCATAGAGAGGAGGGAGGCCATTTCGAGCAAGCACAGAGAGACAGGAGGATGGGGGGTTTTTAAAGAGAGAGGCGGAGATGGTTCTGGCGGCTGTGTTTGAAAAGTGGCGGCGGCTGAGTGGCTTTATATCGTACCTGGTAGTAGGGTTTAAGGTGTTAGGCAATTACATTATTTTATATATCTGTCATTATTTATTGTATAGATAATTTTGAATGAAAATTTAGTAATTAGCATCAAAAGGTTGGATTATCCCTTAATAACTTGAAATTTTGAGTGATAAAAGAGCACTGAGGAGTCTGAAAAAATTATAGTTTTCAAAAAATAGACAATAAAAGTTGGTGTGCCAAGAGAAATAATATTTGTCTAAAGTAGTCAAGAAGAAGGTAGTTGAAATAATATTTTTGAAATTTTTTTTTGAAGAAGGTAGTTTAAATGGTGTTTTCTCTGGAGAAAAAATAATCGGCGGTTGAATAGGTTTAAGTGGACAAATTATAGGAGAGAACGAAGCGGAAGAAAGATCTTATAAGAGAGTTAAGAGCAAATTTCACATAAAGAAGAGTTATTTTTTCGCATATGTTATGTCTTCAAATTAAGTTTAATTATCAAATACATTATATCTCGAGATTAAGTTTCAATAACATTGTATACATTAAGAAGATGGCAAATTTTACATGCATTAGGTCTCCAATACATACTCAAACACATTTTTATTATATAGAATATCTTTCTCTCTTATTTTGTTATAATCAATTTGGCCCCCTAAATTGTGGACTTGATTTTACTGTTTTCCTTGAACTATTAATTCTTTTATGTTGCCCCTTCAACTATTTGAATTATTTCACCTACCCCAATCAAAAATATTCACTATCTTTTTGAACAAAAGTTGTCGATATGTTGTGACAAAGTAAAAAAAATTACATTGTTTAGAAGAAAAAATGAAACAAATTTTTGTTAAATATATAAAGGACGTTAATAATTGAGAAATATGAAACTAAAAATAGAGGGCATAATGTAAAAAATATGATAGTTGAAAGTATAATATGAAAAAATGATCATAGTTAAGGGGGTCAGAATATAATTTTCTTATTTATAATTTCCAAAATTTTAAGGAATAACATGTAATAAAGTAAATCTCGCTAGTCAATTCAATCCGGTGTGTACATCGCTTTCGTTCTTTCCATTCAATATTTCCTCTCCTCCACTAATTTGTCCTGCAGCCCTTCTTGCTCATCCCGCAAGAACAACCCATGAAGCGGGTTTGGCTNCCCGCAAGAACAACATAAGTTGACCCAAAATCCTAAAATTTTTATAATTTCCAAAATTAGAGGAGATAACACGTAATATAAAAATCTCAAGCCTAATATGAAGATTTTTCCCTATTGACTGGACAGCTTTGCTCTTTCCAAATTTGCTAAACTCAAACACCTCGACTTTGTTAAAAAAATGTATGATTTTATTTCAATTATTTATGTTTAATTATGGTATTTCATCTTCCTATTCGATATTTTGCAAAAAAAATTATTTTTGGCTGATCTTATTCGATCAAGTGTATTATTCCTATCCAAATTTTGTCCAAAACAATCAAGTTAAAAGTTGGGTAAGAAATTTGATGTACACATATTTTTAATTATTAATTTTTAGATTATTTTAACAATTTAATTAAATAAAATGCACCAATTAACCAACACAATAAACTTATAACACTAAAGAAAACACAATAAATTCGATAATACATAAATAATTTATACTACTAATAAAAGTATCTTAACATGAAAAAAATTGTGAATCTCTATTTCACCCTTATAAAGAATTGTAAAAACCATTATATCCTTTCACAATTAAATATCTAAATCATCATCATATCCTTATGTATTTAAATCTTTAAATTATTTCTAACATAACATCCCTTTTAATTATCTCTTCACTATCTATAAATATTAATTTCTATAAAAAAAATTGATTGACTATATTACCCTTAAAAAATATGCATCATTATATTTTCAATAAAGTGTTTAAAAAATCTTTAAAAATTCCATTAATCTAATATTACTCATCTCATATGCAAAGATAACATTATGCCTGCATATGCGTATTTTTTTTTTCATCGAACATTTTAAGCCTTTTATTTTTAAGATAAAAAATAATCGTATATATAATTTTTTAAAAGCAATTTATGTTACATTAGTATAATTCAACAATAAATTTTCCAAGTCATTAAGATTTTATGTGAAAATAGATATTATAGTGTATTTCTAAATAAAATTTGAATATTTTAGAATTTGAATATTTTAGAATTTTTAAGTAAAACTTGCAAATTTTAGATTTTTTAGAGTAGTATATTAAATCTTATCCAAATTCACCAAAATAATTCTTAATTACAGTAAGGTTTGAATATAATTACTATATTGACAATTACTTTTATTTTTGGAAAAATTTCACCTAAATCCTCTTAAGGTTTGTCACTTAATCACTTCAATTTTTTGACATTTGAAATATTACACACAGATCTCCTTAGGTTTGTACGCACGTAACACTTAAACTCATGTCGTCAATGTTCGTTAATACATCCAATAGTAAATTATATTCAAATCCCCTAAAATTTGTAGGCGTCTAACACTTTGACCTCTCAAGATTGAAATATTGCACTTTAGTTCCCTTATTAGTTACAAAACTAACAAAATCTATTAAACATATTAAATTACTCTAATTAAAAATAGAATATATTATATTCATTACATTCTGACCCTTTGTTTAATTTTATAGTTTTATTTTAATAAATAGTATAATTATATGCAAATGAATGTTAAATTGAGTTCTATGATATATTTATATTGATTACTATTTTTTTTCTCACAAATAAGAATTTTGTTTGGATTTTATGTCAATGGATGATATAATGGGGCATGCAAATATGTTGATTAGGGTTATTTCATATGTTTGAACTAAATGATGAAAAAATTGATCTACGGTGAAAAGTTCATTTAATCCAAGATGCACCAGGTATGTCGTTCCTAGTTTCTAAATACAGTTCATACCTTTGAGTCACATACTGACTTAGGCATCGAAGAATTGACCCCCAGAGCTCCCCTCCGATCTGCAACTTCTTTTTTAGGTGATTAAAGTTCAACAAACTGACGTGGAGTTAATCTAAATTTTGATATCAGTTGTACTAATTATGATTTTTTTTAAGAAAAAATTGAACTTTTATTTTTAATTTTATTTCAATAAATGATATAATGGAACATGAATTTTAGTTATAATTTTTAAAATATTTGATATTTTATCTTTAATTGGAGCATTTTTAGTTTGAATGTAATATTTCAAACTTGAGGGACCTAACTATTATATACTTTAAATTTTAGGGATCTGAATATAATTTACTAATGGATATACTAACGAACATTAATGACAGGGATCTATGTGTCTGGATGTAATTTTTTTTTATTTTATTCAAGGAATTATAAGTGAAATCTTAATAAGATGAATTTCAAAAAATTTAATTTTGCAAGCATCACTAAAAAATCAATCTCGATCACAAAATTCTAAAAATAATAGAATTTTAACAATTTTTTTAATCTTTTTTTCTTATAGTCGGAATAAAGAATTTTTGTAACGTATAAAGTTTTTATAATCCTATAATAAAATTTGAGTAATAAAAAATTAAGTTTGGTAAATTTGAGATGATATTTAATTCAAATATATGTATACTTAATATATTTTATTAATTCTTATATATACAAATTATTCATGTGTAACGCACATGATTCATTACTAGTTATAATAAAACACAACAAAAAAGTTATAAATATCAATACATCATAATTATTGCACAAATATAATATGTGTGTGTGTATGTTCGCGTGCGCGTAGAGTCGGATATAAATACAAAATTTTTATGGGTATTTCGCATTGCTACTTGATTTTTCTGAAATACCAAAAATTATTCGTTTGGCCTACCTGATTTTTTACGGTAGTTGATCAATAAATCGAGTAGGGTTAGAAAATGCAGATAATCAAAAATTTAAACACCTTTATGTATGCTCTCATGTTTTGTTTGAGGAAAGATGAAATAAATTGTAATATATATAAATATATATACACACACTAATAATAAAACCCCTTAACAAAGAAATTTTTAAAATTTTTTTACCCTCCTACAATACTAGAAATACCATAAACTAATTTTGTTTAATCTATCCATACAACTTAGTAGTTATTAATGACTACTACTTAGAAAATTTATTATATTTTAGTGAATGCATTTGTTATTGGTAGTGAATGCATTTGTTTGCAAATAGATTTTGAATCATTTCATCTTCCATTTATGCCTTCCTTAAGAGACACTAGCACACAAATATTTATTTTTTAATGAATTTAGTAGTTATAGATTATAAGTTGAATCATTTGATGCCTTCCTATTGCAGTTAATTGGGATGATTCTGGTAATTATTTTCTTCCAGTCCTTAGGTTCCTATTCTTTTCAAATCATTAGCCTTATTATATTCCATTTTCTTTGGAACTTTACCTTGGTTATTGTTATCCCTTTGTCTGTTTGTGGAGGATTTTTAGTCTTGGAGTACGAAAATTTCTCTAAAAAATTGCAGTCTAGTTTCTAACGGCTGCCTTTGCTATTTTCTTTGTCTTAAACAAAAAATATCATCCAACCCAAATTTTAATTCCAAATGGCATCCCAAATGACCGGGTCTTATTGGATAAGTAAGTCTCATTAATTTTTTTAAATGGGATCCATTGATTCAATGATCGTTATTAATTTGGGATCCTAAACTTAAGTTGCATAGCATTGCTTATCACGAATGCATTCATTTGGGAATTGTCATGTATATATGGGAAAGAAATCTTGTACTTTTTAGGAATGGTGACATGAAATCTTAGTGTATAGTTTTCTTAGAAAAAACAAACGAACAACACTTGTCACGGATAAGAGGTAGACCGGTCAGAAGCACTCCGATATTCAAATCAATAAGAACTCTAAAAATAAGCAAGCAATTTGTAAGGAAATAAGTGCGAGTCTTAGACTCAAGTCTACCCGATATTTATAGTGGTCTGTACCATCTTCTAGAGTTTTCGTCATTG